AGTCGTTCCACATTCTCATCAAGCTGTGGTAGGACCTATCTTTTTTGTTGTGGTCATTCTGAGGAGTATGCAGTGTATCTCATTGTGGTTTTAATTTGCATTTTCCTTGTGACTAAATTGACAGCCTTTTCATGTTTATTAGGTATTTGGCCTGTTCCTTTATAAAGTGCCTATTTAAGCCTTTTACCTATTTTCCTGTCTTATTCATTTGTAGGGTTCTTTACAGATTCTTTGTTAAATGTGGGATGTATGTACTGCAAATATATTCTTTCACTCCGTGGCTTGCCTTTTCACTCACTTGGTAATATCTTTCAGTGAACAGTTTCTTAATTTTAGTATAGTACATATTGTTTTTCCTTTAGCAATTTTAGCAATTTAATAATTTTCATGTTCTGTTTATTGCCTACCCCAGTGGCCATGAAGGTATCTTCCTATGTTCTAGTCTAAAAGTGTGTTGTTTGACCTATCACATTCAGATAGACCTGCAGTCTATATAGAATTATTTTTGTCTATACTATAAAATGTAAAAGTCAAGGTACATCGTTTTCCCTTATGAATATCCAGTTGACCCAACATCATTTTTTATAAGGCCATCCTTTTCTTACTGTCAGGATGGTGATTTTCATAACTCGGATCAAAAGATCTTCTCTACCCCTCCGCCCCCAATCCTTCAAAGGTTTCCCACTGCACTTAGCATAAAATCCATACACGTCTTACCGCGGCTCTTTGCCCGGCATCAGCGTTCTTCTCAGCTTTCGCCCGGCCGTTCTCATTTTTGGCGCTCTGCCGTGGACATGCTGGTCTCCTTGCTGTTCGTCAGTCTTTTAACTACGTTATTGTCTCAGGCAGTCATGCGTGGGGTCCCTTCTGCCCAGAGTGTGTTCTTCCTGCACATGTCAGCCTGAATCACTCCTCACTGCACTCAGGTCTCCGCTCAAATGCCCTTTCCTCAGGAAGGCTCACTGACTGCTCCATACAGTGCTAAGGATGAAGAGCATATAAACATCCTGTGAATGTCTGTGATACTGTCAGTGAACGGTTTCGCAGTCAGCGTTGTCAGCGCCCGCCAGGCAGCCTTTCCGTTCTGTTCAGGTTCCCCAGGCTCATCAGATATCACTGTCTGGAAGTAGGACCAAGTGTCATCTTTATCTTTGTGACAGGTAGCAGCTCTTCCAAGCCTGTGTAACTGTTCTTCATTCATTGTTTTCAGCTTTTCAATTTGAATAAGTACCTTTGAAGACTCCCATTTTAAGAACTGTGAGAATTTTGGTTCGCCTGGGTGGCTCAGTCGGTTGAGCATCTGACTTTCGCTTAGGTCATGATCTCACGGTTCGTGGGTTTGAGCCCCGTGTCGGGCTCTGTGCTGACAGTTAGCTCAGAGCCTGGAGCCTGCTTCAGATTCTGTGTCTCCCTCTCTCTCTGACCCTCCCCTGCTCACGCTGTCTCTCTCTCTTAGAAATAAATTTTGAAGAAAAAAAAAAAGAATTGTGAGAATTTTGCTACAAAAAACCTTCACTATTGTGTTCTTAAATTAATGTTAATTTCTGAGGTTTGGGGTTTTGTGGGTTTGTCCCCCCGCCCCCTCCCCATTTTTTGTTTTTTTGTTTTTTTACTTTCCTTTCATGTTGTTTGCTGTGCACACTGCACATCCAGATTGTGTATCAAAAGGACACTGGTTATTTTTGCGCTTTCTTAATTATTACTGTTACCACAGTGCCAAGCTCTCACTGCACCGTTCTCACTGCACTGTTTGCTCTCCTGCAAATCAACTACCTCTCATTTCCAGTTAAACAAGTCGTTTTCAGTTTTGTCTGTTGTCTTTTCAGCTATTACAGTCATTTGGAACAAAAATTCAATTTCAATTAAAAAAATGGGTTAAAAGACCTAAATGTGAAATCTGAAACCATAAAACTCCTAAGAGAAAGATAGGCAGTAATTTATTTCTTTGACATCAGTCATAGAAACATTTTTCTAGATATGTATTGTCAGGCAATTGAAATGAAAGCAAAGATAAACTACTGGGACTATACCAGAAAAAAAAAAAAAGCTCTTGCACAGTGAAAGATACCACCAACAAAACAAAAAGGCAACCTAGTGAATGGGAGAAGATATTTGCAAATGTTGAATCCAATAAGGGATTAATATTCAGAATATATAAAGAACTTACAACTCAACATCCAAAAAACAAATCATCTGATTTAAAGATGGACAGAGGACCTGAATAGACATATTTCTAAAGAAGACATAAAGATGGCCAAGAGAAATATATAAAGATGCTCAACACCACTAATTGTGAGGGAAATATAAATCAAAACCACAATGAGATATCACTTTATACCTGTTATAATGGCTAGAATCAAAGAGACAAGAAATAAGTGTTGTCAGGGACGTGAAGAAAGAAGAGCCCTTATATACTGTTGGTGGGATCGTAAATTGGTGCAGCTACTCTAAAAAACAGAATGGAGATTCCTCAAAATATGAAAATAGAATTTTATGATCCAGTAATTCCACCAGTAGGTATTTACCCGAAGAAAATAAAACACTAATTTAAAATGATATATACACCCCTCTGTTTATGGTTGCGTTTTTTACAGTAGCCAAAATATGGAAGCAACCCAAGTGTCCATCAGTAGATGAGTAGATAAAGAAGATGTGGTGTGTACACACACACCCCCACCCCCACACACGGAGGAATATTAGCCATAAAAAAGAATGAATTGTGGCAACATAGGTAGACCTCAAAGGTATTCTGCTAAGTAAAATAAGTCAGAGAAAGATAAATACCATATGATTTCATTTGTATGTGGAATCTAAAAAAAACAAAACAAATGAACGAACACAAACAAAAAAAGCAGAAACAAACCCATAAATACAGAGAACATGTTGTGCTTGCCAGAGGGGAGGCTAGGGGGATGGGCACAGTAGGTGAAAGGGAGTGGGAGGTATGGAAAATGAACGAATAATTTCTAAAAGTCCTCTGAACACATATGATATTATTAATGAACTGTCTCCCCTATGATGTTGTGATTCCTTGAGGTAAGGTATCGTGTCTTCTTTCTGTAGATCTTACTTGCAGCATAATACTTCAGAACTTGAATAGTGTAAATCTTATGATAATTCATTGTTTTCCCTATTTTGTCTACCTTAGCTCCAGATAATATAGACTCTGATACAAATATTTAGTAATTTTATGAACTGTGGCGGAGCATCAACTTTTTGTATTTTTTTTTGAAAGGGGTAGTATACAGCATATAGCTTGAAACTTTATTTTATTTTTTCTTTTAATGTTTTATTTATTTCTGAGAGAGAGAGAGAGAGGCAGTGTGAGCAGGGGAGGGTCAGAGAGAGAGGGAAACAAAGAATCCGAAACAGGTTCCGGGCTCTGAACTAGCTGTCAGCACAGAGACCGACATGGGACTCAAACCCATGAACCACGAGATCATGACCTGAGCCGAAGTTGGACGCTTAACCAACTGAGCCACCCAGGTGCCCTTATAACTTGAAACTTTAAAACTCACTTTAACTGTTTTACCTGGAAACAACACATAGCTAAGTCTAAATGAGTTTTATCTATGACTAAGGTAGTAGAAAGGTTTTCAGTGTCTTTTTATTTTCTTCTAACAGTAATGCTAATTCTATTTCAAGTTTATAAAGTTGCGTTTTTTTCCTAAGATTCTGCAATCTAGATTTAGTGATTCTCATTGACCTGGTTCCTATTATTGAGGTAATTTGGGGGCTACATGCATGTATAAAATTTGGTTTGGGGACAAGAATTAGATCTTTCTTTCATTTGTTAATTTGTTCATTCTCTGTCCAAGGCATTTATTTCCACCATTAATTGCATTTGTCTTTATTTCCTTAAGGTCTTAAACTAATGTCTGACATACACTATTCTTTTATTAATTGTAGAAGGTCAGAGCAGAAAGAGATTTTCAAGATCACGTTTTCAGCCATAAGACGCTACTGGGTCACTTAACAAAATTGGAAAATAGTTGGTAGATTAAAGTATTGTCAGTAATAAATTTACTGTAGTTGATATTACGGGTATGTAAGAGACTACCCTTATTCTTAGAAAAACACAATGAAGTATTTACGAATAAAGGTACCATGATTTGGAAGTATGGTTTCGGGAGTGGGGGGTGGGGAGGGGGAAACTGTGTGTGTGTGTGTGTGAGAGAGAGGGATAGAGAGAGAGAAAGTGAGCATGCAAGCTAGCTCACATGTACAGAATGAATACAAGTGAGCTAAGAGTAAATTATAAACCATATGGGGCAACATATTAACAACAGGTGGATCTGGAAAAGGATAGGGGTGCTGGGTGGCTCAGTCAGATGAGCGTCCTACTTTTGATTTCGGCTCAAGTCATGATCCCAGGATTGTGGGATTGAGCCCTGCCTCAGGCTCCTGTTAAGCATGGAGACTGCTTTAGATTCCGTCTTTCTCTCTCTGCCCCTCCCCACTGCGTGCGTGCGCTCTCTCTCTCTCTCTCTCTCTCTCAAACAAACAAACAAAAAAGCTGGCAAAGGGTATATTAATGTTCTTTATACTATTCTTATGTTTTCTCTTAACTGTAAAATTATCTTCACATAAACAATTTTAAATAATCATCATTCCCAGCTGTCTCAGGAAAAGCACTCAGTCTTCATGACTTAGACCTGAAGTAACTTTCCCAGTCATCCTGAGAGTTAGAGACAGAGCTACTCCTGGTCCTCAGGGCCTGTGTTATGCTGCTGTCTTCTAGTAAACTGTCATTGAGCTCCAACCAGATGCAGAGGCCAGTAATCCTGACTTGTGGTTGTATAGAACACGGCCAGGCTTGCACATTAGTGATGTAGCTTTGAGTTGCTTTTAAAAATATTTTTTCCATAACCTGCTTGGGCTTAGAAACCTCCAGCCCCTCTGTTACCTGGACATCTTGTTACTTGATACGCTGCCCATTGTAATGAGACATTCCTATATTTGCATTTTAACAATCAGTGGTTTGTTCTTTTTCTTGATAGCTACTGCTTCTTGGGATACGTTCCTCATGCTATGGAATTGCAAGCCGCAAGCTAGAGCTTTCAGATATGTGGGTCACAAGGATGTGGTAACCAGCGTGCAGTTTTCCCCACTTGGAAACTTACTGGCATCCGCTTCTCGAGACAGAACCGTTAGACTCTGGATTCCTGATAAGTAAGAGAAACACAGTAACACTTGATATGCTCTGGATTTAGGAATGTGAAAGAAAGGAGCCTGGCTGTTCCTTCTTCACTTCTTGAGAATGCCTGAACCCCCGGTTACCTGCACTGAGTAGTCTGAGTTGCACGCGAGATGTATTGCCCTTATCTAAAGTTAGCAAACTATTTCATACCATTTTCCCCTCATCTTTACCTTTATATTATCTCTTCTATTTGAAACCTATTTCTAACCATGGAAATATGCTTCAGGTTTGTTTTTTTTCTTTTTTCTTTTCATTTTTTCTTTTGTGGCAGGGTGATGGTTATCAATCCCTTTATAAATCTGATGTAAACTTCACATTGTTTCCCTGGAGAGATACACATTGACGTATATAACTGAAATTTTATAGTTTATTAATCGACTAGTGCCAATTTGTGGATCTTCTGTGGGTCTTTGGATCTCTAGTAATCTCTGTGCCTGAACTGTTCTTGGATGCATATAATTCATTATTGGGCTCCGGAGTTTTCTTGCTAAAGAAAGTTTCTGACAAATGTTTAAATCATTGCATTTGATAAATCATTATGACAAATGCCTCTATACGAGGCTTTTTAAATCCTAGCAGATAGCTTAGCTATTTTAAGCAATTATGGAGCCATGATATTTTAAAAAGCTTTTGAACTTTTTTTTTGAACTTTTAATTATATGTTTTCAAACACATATGAAAATAGAAAGAAATAGCACAACATTTCCTTCCCCCCTACTCATCAACTAGATCCAAAAGTTATCAGGATCAACAGTTATCAGTTGTTTCACCAATCCCCCCTCCCTTTTTTTTTTTTTTTTTTTTGTTTTGTTTTTAGCTCGAGTAGTTTTAGAACAAATCCCACACATTATATCATTTCCCCTGGTAAATACCTCAGGGAATAAGCATTTGGGCATTTTCCTTGGCTCTCTTGTGGCAGGAGTTGATTTGTGCTATGTGACTGAACAGGCTCAGGCACTCCCAAGTGGAAGTTCACAGGGCATTTTCGTGGCAGCGGGCACTTCTTTTTTTTTGCCACCACCCAAGGGAATCTCCATGCTGAGGAATCTGAACATTACCCTAATGGTGGCAAAAACGACTGAAGAGAAGAGACATATGATGACACTATGGGTGACAGTGTAGAGGGGAACTGGGAGAGAGAGAGACTGGTTTGGGGTCCAAAAGGGAAAGCGTTTTCTAAAATCCTCAACTTTGGGGATTTAGGGCTAGTGGTTTTGCTGTCTTCAGCAGAACACAACTTCAGGCTCCCCGTACTAATTCTAGGAACTCTCAGTGAATAAACTGTACAAAGGTAGATGAGCTAAAAACACACTGAGTCATTAATTTGTACTGGCTGATCTAAGTGCAACAGTTAGGCTTGTGTAGATGTCTCTGGTTCCTCTTTCTAAACCCTGTCATATGGGGCCAGGGCAGTCATGGATTATGGCAGTGGGCTAGAAACTGGCACATCAGTTATTACAGTTTAACAGTCCTCAAAACTTAGCTTAATACAACAACTAGTCATTTCTCATAATTTTGTGGGTCTTCTGGGTGATTCTTGTGTCCCATTTGATGTTGGCTGTTAACACAGCTTATGAAGCCGGCAGGTTGAGCACTCACCCATGCGCTTGGGGCCTGGTGCTGGTTATTGGCTGGGGCACCCTGGCCTTCCAGATGGCCTCTCTCCAGCAGAATAAGGACTTCTGACCATGTGCCAGCTGGATTGTAGGACAGTAAAAATGGAAGCTTCTAGACCTTTGAAGGGCTGGGTCTGAAACTTCCACAGGGTCACTTTTGCCTCATGTTATTGGTCAAAGTTAGGCACAGCTAGTCCCGATTCAGAAGGAGGAAAAAGCGGTAGAATCCATCTCCAGGGGCATTGTGTGTGTGAGGAGGGGGGGCCTGTGTGTGCACAGGGATAAGAGGGATGCTAGGCAGCTGTATTTGGAGACAGCACAGCTGGTGACCGGCGGGCTAAGGAGGAATAGCAGGAACAAGCAAGGAAGCGGTTCCGGCCTGGAGTTTGTTAGGGCAGAAGATGCAGGTAAATTTGTGGGAGGCAGAGAGCCAATGTGAAGGCAAGGTGAGGAACTGCAAACCAGTTAAACAGCTGTATGACAAACACAGGCACTCCTTTCATGGTTTTTTATATCCTTCCTGTTGAGACTGGATCCAGGGGTTGGACCAGGCTGTAGCCGAGAGGAAAACCCCTGAGAAGGAAGGCAGACAGGTAGGCTGCTGGACTGTGGACTGTCTCCTGGCATCCCCGTCACAAAAGATGCCAGTCTTGCTGTTTTCTCTAGGACGTGTTCTTGAATTCGGGCCAAACTCTCCTCTTGTTACGCATAGAACTTTCCCTTGAAACCTCACTGAACCAGGCCCTGAATACTCCTTCCCAATTTTTTAAATATCAATTTTCATTTTTCCCAGAGTAATATATATCAGGTGATGGAGATTCATTACCAAGTCACTTTTGTCTTGGTATAGACCACTGGACGGATAAGCCAGGTTGGATCTAAGAACTCTAAGCAGTGACTCTTCCCAGTGGAATTCAACAAAATGTATCAAGCTTTTGTTATATGCCTGATATTGTGCTAGGTGCTGGTCTTTAAAAACATTTTTTTTAATGTTTATTTATTTTTGAGAGAGGGAGAGAGAGCACAAGCAGGAGAGGAGCAGAGAGAGAGGGAGACACAGAATCTGAAGCTGGAACTAGGCTCTAAGCTGTAGCCTGGCACAGGTCTCAAACCCATGAGTAGTGAGATCATGACCTGAGCCAAAGTCAGATGCGCAACCAGCTGAGCCACCCAGCCTCCCCCGTTTTTTAAAAAATTTTTTGGGGGGACACCTAGGTGGCTCAGTCAGTTAAGCGTCCGATTTTGGCTCGGGTCATGATCTCGCGGTTCGTGGGTTCGAGCCCGACGTCGGGCCCGACCGCGAGATCATGACCCGAGCCAAAGTCGGACGCTTAACCGACTAAGCCATCCAGGCGCCCCTAAAAATTTTTCTTTTTTTTAATGTTTGGTGCTGGTCTTATAGGGATGAATAAGTCACCATTCCTGTCCTCAAAAAAACTCAGCTTAATAGAAGAGAAGGCAGGTTTATTTTTTTTTAAATACTGTATAATGTAATAAGCAAAATAGATGTAGCAGATAGGGAGCAATTAAGCCTGCCTGCGTTGGTCAAGGAGGTTAGGGTGGGGGGAGTAATCCTGGCTGAGACAAAGCAGGAAATGCAAAGCCAGAGGTGTGTTTGAAGCTCTGCGACTGTTCTGAGTCCAAAGGTCAGTGTAACGGCAGGATGCCTTGAAGAACTTGGTTATCGTACCTTTTCTTGGAGGACAGCCTGTGACACGTCTACACTGAGCTTTACATGCTTAGAAGTATGCTTTTAGTGACATAATAAGTACAGTATGTAGGTGACTGGAGGGGATAAAAGATTAGAGCAGGGAGACCAGTTAAGAGGCTTTCTCAATAATCTAGGTAAAGGATACGTAGGGTGTGTTTGCCTTACCGTAAGCAGAGCTGGGATGGAAGAGGAGGTATCAAAAGGATATTTGGGAAGTGATAACAATATCACTATCCCTACATCAGTTTTGCCAACCTATTGGACGTGGGAGGAAAATGGGGAGTGGTTGAGTATGACTTCCAGGCTCTGTAAATTCTGTTGCCTGATGTTTTTCAAACAGTTATGTATAAATATGATTTTCTGAATGGAAAAAAATGCTAAGTCTGGATGTAGTATAAAGTGAAGTATCTGGGGAACTTTGGAGTCCTGACACAAAGTAGGATTTCCCAAATGCCACCTGTGAACTCCAGCGCTTATCTGCTAGCCTGCCCCTAACTATTTTAACTTTTTTTCTTTCTGGTGCTTCTCCTTAAATACCACACATTATTTTCTCCATCTCTCCTTTTCCTATTCTCTTTGTCCCATCCTAGCCAAGAAAAAAAAAAAAAGTAGCATCTGAAATTTCAGAGTGTTGAGAACTGGAATACAGTTGTTGCCATTTGTCCTTTGCTTGTGAGGCTAAGACTGGGCCCTGGGTGAGCAAGGCCTTACATACGCCCCAGGGCTCTGAGTTCTTATTGCTGGTAGGTGGAAACACCAGTGAGTCAGAGACAGATTACCTAGAGACATTCTGCAAAGGGAGAAGTGGTATAAGGGGCGTCTCTTCCTTCCCAGCGCACACTGCCGGTCCACACAACTTCCACGTGACCCCAGTTTGAAAGCACTTCCTTAGAGCTGTTTACTTAATCGATCTTAGCTTTTCTAGATTGCAGTTTCCTTAAACTATTTATTGCTATTTCTAGAGGAACAACTGGAACTTAAAATTCATGGTAGAGATTGGTCCAAAATATTGTTTCTCTATCTTCTAATTAAAACAAAAACAGCAGGTGCATTTCTGGGTGGGATCATGAGGGTCTTTTCTTGTTAAATATCAGTGGTGACTGTAATGACTAAAACTAGCTTTCTTAGTGTTGATGAAGAAACTTTTCATACTTCTGTCAGTTTTTTACAGGAGTTAAATAGTTTTATATGTTCAAAGACTGTATACTGATTAGATATTGATTATACTTACATTAAGTTTTATAAACTGTTTATTTCCAGGAGAGGAAAATCCTCTGAATTTAAAGCTCACACGGCTCCAGTTCGAAGTGTAGACTTTTCAGCCGATGGCCAGTTTCTAGCTACCGCTTCTGAAGACAAATCTATCAAAGTATGGAACATGTTCCGCCAGCGTTTCTCATATTCCTTGTACCGACATACACACTGGGTACGCTGTGCCAAGTAAGTGTGAAGTTTCCTAATGAGATTTCCGTATTTTTTTTCCCGCTGTAGTCTGTGTTTACCACCACCCCCTCCCCAACTCCCAGAAAAGGGGATCAAGGGCAAATTCATTCATTCCTTCATTCAGCAAATATTTGTCATGAGCCTGCCATGTGCTGGGAACAATAGTAAGCAAAACAGTTAACCCCCCCTGCTGTCATGAGCTTCCATTCTAGAAAGGAGAGATAGACAATAGACAGGTAGGAAAGTGAGACGGTAGGTCAGATGGTGGTAAGTGCTGCGGAGAAAAACAGCTGGATTGGAAGGGGCTGCAGTTGTAAACAGCAACTGCCTCACAAAGACAGGGTGGCCTTTAAGCAGAGATCTAACAGAGGGCAGGGGGCGAGGCTTGCGTATGTTTGGGAGAGGACTGTCTCAGATAGAGGAAACCGGTATGGAAGCCCTGGGGTGGGAGCTGATGACTATTTGAGGACCAGCAAGAAGCCTGGTGTGGAACAGAGTGTGGGGAACAGCTGAGCTGTGTTCCGAGAGAGGAGATGGCCCTGGAGCACATGCATCTCTCTGACTAACATTTTAATGGGGTCGTTCCGACTACCAGAGCAGCGCTCGTGGTATAGCGGTGAGCAGAGCTGCCTTCCGACTACCGACTACGACTGCCGCGGAGAAAAGCTGCCCAGTGAGTCAGGGCAGGAGCAGGGGGTGTGGTTAGGAGGCTGCGTGTAGTAGCTCACATCTGGCTTGGACCAGTGTGGTGGCAGTGGAGATTTCGAGAAGAAGTTGGATTCCACATGTAGTTTGAAGGTACAACTAACATACTTGCAACACCCAATGTGACAGGAAAAGAGAAGAACTAAGAATGGCTCCACAATCTGGCAGCATTGTTGGGACAAATGGTATTGTGTGATAATGTCAACTAGCAGCCTTGGAGCCCTTTCTATTCCCAAGAGACACCGCTAAAGTATTTAAAATGATTCCCTATCAGAACTGCCCTGGGAGAGTAGGGCTATTGCATTTTTTTTTAATTATTATTGTTTAAAAAAATTTTTTAGGGCTGTGGTTTTATTTTCCTAGTTTTACAGATGAAGGAAGTGAGTTTCAGAGTTAAAGTTAGAACTTGTCTGTTTGAAAGTGATAGAAGCCCAAAGAAATTATTTCTCTCCTCTCAAGGTGGTTAACTGGCTGATGTTTGGTGACCTTGGAGTGGAGAACCAGGGGCTGCAATGCCCTCAGTCTCTCTGGAGGCCTGTCTACATGCCGGCTCTACTCTCAAATGCCCTGGGGGTGAGGTCACTGCCAGCTCTAGGCCCAAGTCCTCACAGCTTTGTGACTGGACAGGAAAAGCTCCTATGTCCAGTTAGAAAAGAGCTGTGGACAACTCTTGGATCCCGTGCCCATCCCTTCACCAGGGAGCGAGATACTGTGGTTGTCACAGGTCAGCCAGGCGCCCGACAGACTGGTCACCCCAGCCTGAGGGATGAGACGGCATACCACCCATGTGTTCTGGTGGCGGACAGAGAGGACAGCTCTTAAAAGAAAGGGGCTGGGGCAGATGTGGTCGCTGGGGAAAATTTGTGCAGGCTGCGGCCAGCCCACCGTGTGCACACTGTATGAAACAACGTGCTGGGTGTCCCCAGCTAAGATGTGGTGCAATGGGAGTGGGAGCTTAGCTCTGTGTGTCTTGCCGTACATCCCATGCTCTCAGCGGGACATTACTGTTCAGACGTTGATTATAATCTATGGCAGTGAGGCTAAGAAGAAGAAAAAAGGTTCAGTTTTTAGCCAATAGCTTTTTTCTTCTAAAGGTGTCAGCTACTTTTGGCTCTGACCAAAAGAAATACAGAAAGCATTATTTCCATATATTGCACATAGCTATGTGGTCAAGAACATGGACCAAGGACCTAAATATATAGGTTAAAACTCCAGCCCCAGTGCTTACCAGCTATGTGACCTTTGGGAAAATTACCTACCTTCTCAGTGCCTTAGTTTTCTTACCTGTAAAGTTAGGCTGATGATGATAGTAACCTACCACATGGATTGTCATGGTATTTAAATGAGTAAATATACATAAAGCATTTAGAATCATGCCTTCCACAGAGTAATCACTAGACAAATCTGAATCATCATCCTCATCCTCATTGGACATATCAATCTTGTTTCATCTTTAAAGATATTGTTAAACTTGAGTTGGTAATTTTTCCCACCTAGGAGGTGACATATGTGAGGGTACCAAGAGGCTGGTCAAATCACTTGCATTTATTTATTAAATGATGTTGCACACAGAAATCTATCATCTAGTGGACTGGGCCCCAAGAACAGACAGGGCACAAAAGCTTGGCAAGGTACTGGGAGTCATTATTTAGCCTCCACTAGGACTGACTCTGGAGATGTTTGGTAAAGACACTGGTTTTTGTTACCTTCATCAGGTAGCTCATCATAAGCAAAACCATTGAATGATAGCCAGGATTTATCCGGTGTGTCATATGTGTCTATTTTCTTCCTAAAATAATTTAAGGTGCTTGATAATAAATGTCATACAATTTAGAGGGAATGAAGAGACACTTCTATGTAGAACCACATCACCTTGGTTAGTGCAAATTTGGCTGGTTTAGCCTGAGTTTCCTGCAGCCAGTGGATTAATGGTATGATGGTGGCTGACATGTCTTCATGTTTTAACAAGAGGGAATTCTAACAAGTTGTTCAGATAAGAAAAATTTTTTTCCTGTAGAAGATTCTAGGAGATATTTTATTCCTTGTCCTTATACTGTAGCATCTATGTATAATATAAATGCAAAAGAAGGAGCACGTGGGGGGCTCAGTTGTTTGAGCGTCTGACTTTAGCTCAGGTCATGATCTTGCAGTTTGTGAGTTCGAGACCCACGTCAAGCTCACTGCCATCAGATATAAGTTCAAGTCTGCTTCAGATCTTCTGTCCCTCTCTCTGTACCGCTCCCCTGCTTGTGCTCTCCCAAGAATAAATAAATATTTTTTAAATATACAAAAGAAGGTATTGCTAATAGAAGACAAAAGAATGTATGAAAGGTTGAAAAGGTCACCAATAATATAAAATTTTGGTCTTTAAAATATTCCCTTTTTTTGGTCAGTCCTTCCCAAGTTTTTATTCTATTTTGTTTGTTTGTTTGTTTTGTTCCTGCTTTGACCGCATATCTGTGCTGCATATCAAGTAGGTAGAGATGGAAACGGTAGTCTTAGCCTCAAGGGTCTTTTCTGTTTTATAGTTCAATGGAAACAAAACAGATACAAGATAAGTATAAAATGATGTCGCTCATGGGAAGACGGCACACAAGGCGGTAAGCGCAGTAGGGCGTGGAACTGGACTTGCGTGAGGAAGCGCCGAGGAGGACATTGCAGGCCCAGCACCGCGGGACTGGCGGGGAAAGAAGAGGCTTGCAGCCGCCTCGCCAGATGGGGAGAGGTGGCCAGCCATTCACAGAGGGAACCGGCAGGAGTGCCTGGGAAAACGTTTTGTGCTCTGGGAATGCTAATTATTCAGCTCTTGCCTGGCACAGGAAGTACAGTGGGGCGAGGGAGGTGGAAGGTGGGGAAGGCTCAGGGCCATGGGTGTTTGGAAAAGACTTTGGAGTTCATCCTCCAGGTGACACGGAGACACTGGAGGGCTTGGGATTGGGAAGAAGCATGATCGTCCCTGAGCTCTATACAAACTGGGCTTAACAACCCGCAGTATGACTGCTGTAGACGGTTGGCATGAGATAGGTCAAGATTCATATGCCTGCCTGTGCCACATCGTTACCCTTGGGTGAGTTAGTCCAGAGCTCTCAGCCTCAGCGGGAGATGAGGGTAATGAGGCTTCTCAAACGGACTGTTGTGAGGATGGGCCATACAGTGTTCAGGACTGTGTGATGCCGTAAGCCTGCCATTCCTCCGGCTGAGCGCCACCAGGTGGGGAGAAACTTAGAAACTGGGGACGAGCCCAACATTTGGTTTTCCCTCATCAGTTAGAGAGAAGAAGGCAGTGGTGGAAGCCTGCACTTCTGTCTGCCTAGCTCTGTTCTGTTTTCTGGTGACGGGGCCCAAGCTTTCTTGAGGAGCCAGCCCTTCCCTCCAGTCCCTCTGTATGTTGTATAGATGCTGGCGTGGCCTGATCTCCAGTCCCGACAGAGGCGTTCAGCTCAGGCTTGCCATCCGCAACAGGGCATCTCCTCCTACCTAGTGAGTCTTGTTAGAACAGCAGGCCTTTCCCCTGGGATTGCTGCCTTAGGCTTATTTCTTTTTTCCTTTTTTTTTTTAAGTTTATTTATTTATTTTAATAATCTCTGTACCCTCTGTGGGGTTCAAACTCATGACACAGAGCTCAAGAGTCTTATATTCTTCTGACTGAGCCAACCAGGCACCACTTAGGCTTATTGAAGCCTGTGGCCGCTGAGGGACACTGCTGGCAAAGAGCTGACTGGAGAGTGATGCTGATTCAGGGGACAGCAGAGCTGTGAGCTGGAGAAAGAAAGAATTGCTATGTAATCACATGGTGTGCTCGTACCTGGTTTTATTAACATGCGTTTGTGTGTGTGTGTATGTATGTGTGACAGAAATGAGCCTTAAAATTCTCTCACTTTTTTTTTTTTAAAGAGGCACTTTCTGTAAGTCTTGTTAGTGGAGCAGAGTTTTGGGAAGGTGGTGGAGTTCTTCTCGCATCCACTGATGTGCACTCAAGACACTGTTTTATCTTCACCCCCAGTGCCAGTCTAACTTTAAGCATCAGGGGCTCTTGTAGAGACTTTTGCAATAACCTCCTAAATATTCTTCCTGACGACAGATTTGTCTTCGTTCTCCTCCCACTCCCCCTCCCACTCCCACCCCCCTGCCGCCTCTGAAGAATCCTTTGGGAAATGCAACCTGGTTGTACTGTTCCTCAGGTTAAAACTACTGGTGACTCCTTGCCCTGGCTTGTCTGCTCTGCCTTTCTGTCACAACCTGTCTTTCATCCCCTTCCCCATCCCCTTCTTGCGCCATGCAGAGCTCCTGTG